CAACAGTTTAATAACTAATATAGCATCCATGTGTTTATTTGGGGCTGAGAACAGCATCAGGATCTAGCAGGACAAGAGAAACCAACAACAACAATGCCCTTTCATATTGTATTTTCCAAACCCCTCACCTTCCACCCCTTTCTCCTTTAGAAATCTTGTATGTATCTTGAACTGCCTTCATCATCTTTGAACCTTGTGGTACATATTGCTAAAACTGAACCCATCATATACTCTCAGCCATAACAGAGTATCTGCTAGTAAATCTATCTTCCCCTTATATAATATCAATGAACACTAGTTTTTAGACACTGTCCACCAGCAACTCAAGACTGAAACCCAAGAGGAAAGAAAGAAGTACAGTAAGATCTATGATCTGTAAAATTTCCAATCAGAACATACATCCTAAACTATGATGGAAAAATAATGACTTTTCACAACACATGGCTGAAGAAACAGAGGTTAGAAGACTAAAGAATGAATTTAAGATTGTAGATCTAGAATTATAGAACAGAATATTAGAATAGAAACACTGGCAAGGAAAAATGTTCCATAAATCTGTAGAGAATTACACTGGGCCACTGGGCTGTGTGAAAAGCGGTATACACACATGGTGAGACTCCAAGACATGAACAAAAATAATTTACTAGAAAGTAACTTCAAAAAAATAACAAGTTCTGAAGTAGAGGCTATTACAGGCACATCTTCCAGCTCTCAAACGCCACCTTATGACTATGATGAAATAAATGCTCCCTTACCTACCCAGTTACAAAATCAATGATTTGACATCGAAAATAATATACAGCAAATTGGAAAATTGTTACCCCAAAGCTGGAGATCTCTACCAAAGAATCAGTGAATAACTTCACTCCTAGATGTGCCATGATTTTTAAAATCCATGGTTCAGAGATACTCAGGCTATAGCACTGATTATCTGAATCATTCAGTAGGTACTTGTAAACAGTCATGTCTTCGTAGCAGAGAAATTGCCATCACTATATTATGCTTTCTTTAACAAACCTTTAAAGTAAGCCTCAAAGAGCAATTAGCTCTACATGTATTAAAAACATCAACAATCTTTAATAAGAAAATAATTTTCTTTTGGGAGACAGGGTCTTTCTCTCTTACCCGTGGATGATACTAGATCTCATTATTCTTCTTTGTGTATCTAGAGAAAATCTATTGGCATGCCCAGATAAAACAGAATTGATGAATAGAGTAAATGGAACTAAATATAATAAATGAACTTGTTCTGTTGTATGATGTTACTAGAATCAATTAATTTTTTATGACTAGAGGCCTGGGGCACTCCATCATAGACTATTTATCTGTGTGAAGACTCAAAGTGAAGAAAATAAACAATTCACTCTGGATATGCGAATATCTGAGTAAAAAAATGACACTTCCAATAAAGAAATTCAAAGAAAGACACCTCATTCTATACGGATGCGAAAACAAAGTAGTGTAAACTTCAAACAGCATGCGTTGGCTCTCTAAGTTGTGCACATCCTTTGTCCAACAGCTTCCTTCAAATTTCTCCTAAAGACAATATTGTAAAAGTATTTCCTGCATTAAGATGTTTCCAACAGTAATGTTTACAATAATATACAGTAGACAATGATCTTTATATTCAAGAATAATGAACCAGTCCTGTATATAGTAATCAGATATTTGTCATGCTTCAAGAATTAATAATATAAAATTAAATGTAATGATGTTTAGGTTCTTAAAAGAAAGACTTTAAAGCATATTTATAACACAAATTAACTATAAGCCAAAATAAATAAGCATAGAAAAATATCCCAATTTAGTATTATCTGCTTCAAACTAGGAAAAATAATAGGGGTGTGTGTGTATATATGTGGAAGTGGTGTGTGTGTGTGTGTGTGTGTGTGTGTGTGTGTGTGTGTGTGTGTATGTATTTCATTTTTCTGCTTTTAAGAATTATCTATATTCTGTGTTTATTACATTGAGCATTGGCTGCTTTTGTAATCAGAGCAAGATAAATGTAGGATATAAAAAATATGCATGAATGAAAACAGCTTAAATAGCCCAGGCATATCATTTTATTTTCTCTTATTGGCTAAAATTTTATCATAAGTATTTAAATAGAAAAATTTGCTTTTACCTCACACAAGTGTTCTGCTGCATCAATAATGCATTTCTACATCAGAATATTTAATATCAGTTTTTCAGAGAGAAAATTACTTTTTCATAAAGGTACCAGGACATTTAGTTTCCATCAACTATTGCAAATGTACTATTTAGCAACTACTTTTGGAGTGCTAATAAATCAGTCCTGTGATACAGCAGCGCATGTTCCAAGCTTTTATCTCTTCCTAAAAACATCAAGGAAAATAACCCCAAAGCTAGTCCTGCATGTACAGTACATTTGATCCTTTGATTTTTAACATTCATTTAATGGAGTCTGCCTGTGATGACTAATATTTTCTTGTCTGCTGGTACCAAGCACTAAATAAGGTTCTTTACGAGATTACATTTGCGAAGCTCCCATTTTAACGGAAATTGGAGAGATATGGGAAAAGATTACAGGAAAAGGCATTATAAAAGCAGATCTCACAAGTCAAACTTAATAGCAAAACCATTCTCTTTGTGTAGGCAACCATGAAAACAATATCCTGTGAGCTGGGGATATATACAGTATCTTCCTGGTCTATCTTTAAGCCTTCTTGAGACAGATTTCCATAACTTTATAAGGTGGGTAGAGTTGATGAAACAGTGGCCACAGAGAGGTGAAGAATAGAGCATAAGGTTCAGAAACATAAGACTTTGGGTTGTAACAAGCATAGTATTGCTTATGTAGTTAGACCCAGAGCGACAGATTAAGCGTCAGCTATGACAACTTCAAAAATAATTTATCATAAAACATAACCAATTCTCTTATTAAAAGACCCCCTTAGAATACATCCATGCTACTCAATTATTTAACTGCTAGAAAAGATTGCTACAAAGACTATATACTTTAAATATACAGCATAAAACTTAGAACACTGCTGTTATGAAATTTCAAACAATAAAACAGATATTCCTATAAGCAAACTAGAAGGGCAAACAAAAATATTTGCAATGCACAAGGAACTTTCCCAATAGTCTGTGTATAACTGAAGGAAGTAATTGCCTCCAAATCTCAAACCAGCACAGCTCCTACTTCTTTATTTGTTAACATAAGCTGTATAAAGACAATCTTCATGGAGGCTGAAGTGAATAAGAAACTAGGGCTAGTCCTAATGTGTCTCAAAATTTAAGAAATTTTAAAAATTAAGAAGTGAACTACTGTTCAGTCTCTATTTAACAACAAAATCAAAAACTAACCAGCCCCCTTTCTAGGAGTTAATTGCTTCTTAGATGCAATAAGCAAGTTGAAGGATATATAAGCTACATAAGAAAGAAAAGTGTGATCTTTTTATGAATGTGGAAATCCTGTCATATTTCTAATGCATTTAAGAAGGTGCTTTCTTCCTTTCATATAAATTGTCTGCAGAATAGCTGTTTGCTTTTCAGAGGACTATATATGTGACAAGCATAACTTACCAACAGAAGTCAGCAACAGAAGGAGGTGAGGGTACAGTGTGATATCAAGTGATCCTTGCTTGCAGAGAGCCCACATAAATCTTGGAAAGTATTTTGAAGATTACTGATTATTTTATGGAATAATCCTAGAGTCAGGTGAACCAGTGTACATGGCCATGAAGGAGAAAGAGTAAGGTATTGCTATAGAAAGAGTAAAAGAGATTTCACCATGTGAAATTGGCTAACAGCAAGCAGCAAGTCTAAGACTTAGGGATGGTGGGGGTGAGGGAACTCTGTGTGAGCTTCAGCTCTTTTGTCTCTTCCCCCATGTGCCAAAAACTTTGAGGTGTCATATTTATTAGTGTACAAATATCTTTCCTGTATTTAGTTTCCACAGTTAGCCTCTAAACTTCAATAAAGATGGCATGTTCCTCACTGCTGTGTCAGTGGGATTGTAGAGAAAACTTTAGTGGATGTCCCTCCCTTTTGTGCTGAAGCCAGTATGCCAGGAACAGCTGTGTCAAGGAAGAGCCCTGAACTCCCTGAAATCCAGACACCGCCAGATCCTGAAACGTGAATCAAATTGTAACTCAAATGAACAGAGAGATGCCACAGCATTGACTGACAGAGTAAAAACCAAACAAGCTCCTTTTATTTTCCCTGGTGTTGTAGATAAAGACAACCCAAGGGAAGACAGGGTGAAAATTTTCATGGCCAGGCTTCCAGATGCTAAAAGAACCATAAAATCACTATGTGTGCAGTTTGTGCAGTCTGTTTGTAGCTGCTGGAATGGAATGGAATAGCATGGCAATATTTCTCAAAATTAGACTTTGCTAATGCTTATTTCAAGCACATGTATGCTATTGCTCTATTTTCATCAATAGTCTTTCAGGAAATAAAAGTTTTCAAAAAGTATTGTAAATCATTGGCAGTTAGAAAGTAAAGCTAGAGAAATCAAGACTCAGCCAGATTAATACATTTGTAAAATTTAAACCTGACACAGAAAACACAGGTTTCATGGAATCTCTAGATAATGCTATAAAATGGACTGAGTTCCTAGGTACACAAACCTCAGGGAAGACACTCAGTTATAAAAATCATGCAAGCTTAATGAACATCCTGTTGAATAAGAGAAGCACTTTTTGAGATGGGGTCTATGAGAATGTCTTCCTGGGTCTTTGCATAGATAATGTAACAGCATATTAGATTCAGAGAGCAACAAGGTACTTGCAATGTTTTCTTATGGTATTCCATGAGGAAGCCTCACATACAAGGATATAATCAATAAACAACATGCTTTTTCTAGACACAAGTTTGCATTAATGAATTTCCAACAAGAATTCTTTACCTCTCCCTCACTATCTCTTGAAACGAAAGTCTATCCTTGCTATAGATATAGAGCAATATAATCTACTACAGTCAAGGTTTTAACACCTGTTAAAGAAAACGATATTCTTTTTCTAAGATCATACTAGATAGCCACCATTCCCCTCACCTGTGATTCTTTCACATTTTCAACAGTGAAGTTGAACCAGACCCGGAAGCGAGGATTACAAGTATCCGGTCTAATGAACAGATCATACTCAAACTCAGAGACTTGCTCAACCCGGCCAAGGTTACCTATGACAAAACATAAGAGAACTGTGTTTTAATAGAAGTTCATGCACCTCGATAATATTATGAGCTCTGATACTAGTACTATCTTCATTTGGCATTAGTAGGTGTAAACATTCACAGTCTTAATCTACCAACTCTGAGTACGGCCCAAAGTAAGGAAGAGTTTCAGCTAGTTCAGGCTGCAGTGCAAAATCTCTGCCTGGCCCTTACAATCTAGATCCTTTGTGCAACAACAAGATTGGGTTATGAAGACTATAGTATGTTCCAAAAACATTGAGGAATGAATCACAAACTACAGTTTCCTAGTTAGAAAAAAAATGAGGATAGAATATAAACTAATTCTAATAGGTTAAACATTCTTTACTTTTCACAACATGGCTATTTAGTTCGTGTGGTAAGTTGCTAAAAGAGATAACCACCTGCTAAAAATGAGTCAAGGTGACTACAACTGGCCTGAAAGCAACTGACTTAGACGTTGGTATTGTGTTGATCTTAAGGAAAATAGCAGTATCTAATTTAAAATGAGTACTAGAATGCCTGTCTCTAGACCAGTGGTTCTAACCTTTCTGATGCTGCAACCCTTTAAGACAGTTCCTCATATTATAGTGACCACCAACCATATGTTTATTTCATTGCTATTTTGCTATTGTTAGGAACTGTAGTGTAAATAACTTATAAGCAGGATATCTAGATGACATGCAACCCCTGTGAAAGTGTCGTTTGACCCTCAAAGGGATTTCAGCTCACAGCTTGAAAACTACTGCTCTGGAGGAATGCTTAGGAACAAACATTCAACTTACATGTGCCAAAGTTTTAATTACTTCTTTTCAAAATTCTGTTGACATGTCACTAATTTTTCTGCATATGAGTTGTACTATAATTGATGGAGTACTTGCCAGAGACCCAGAAACCTGGATTCTACTTCACTTGCTTCCAATAGTATGATGATAGATAAGCTATTTACATTCTCATAGTCTTATGAAAATGCTGAATTATATAACCCCAAGGTTCTTTCAGATATAACCTTCTTTAGTTGCCTATTTCTAGCAATGATTAGGCAGTGATCTAAGACAATAACTCCATAAATATAACAATTAACTTTTTTATTTTATCTGTTCTATTAAAATTTAATATGAGATAACACTTTACTTTCCCTTCTGGGATGTAACAGTACCTTTATTTTAGCATATTCACATTGAAATCTTACATTGATGAGGAAATATATATATGAACTAATTGATACCGAATACTTATCTCTTAATGTTTCTTTCAATTGTATTCATAATCCCCAAAGAGATTCCTTATATAAAATTAGTTCTTTGAATTATAATCATCAAAAATATTGACGGGTGTTGGTGGTGCACACGCACGCCTTCAATCCCAGCACTTGGGTGGCAGAGGCAGGCAGATCTCTGTGAGTTCAAGGCCAGCCTGGTCTCCAGAGCAAGTGCCAGGATAGGCTCCAAAGCTACACAGAGAAACCCTGTCTCAAAAAATCAAAAAATATTTATTAAGACATGATTTATGAAAGTCAGAGTATTTATTACACAATGAAACTAAATACTGGGTCAAATAATTTAGGTTAGTTTTTAATTTTCTGAGTGACCATGGAAAATTAATTTAAAAATTCCAACATATTTTTTATCATTATAAAGTAAAAAATATGAGACTGGATAGATGGCTCAGTGTGTAAGGGTACCAAGGCTGATTATGTCAGTAGGAGCCCCAGGGTACAAACAGTAACTAAAAGGAAAGCACCATCTCCTTCAGGTGGTTCTCTGACTTCCACAGGTGCACCTTGGTATGCATCTACCAATACACACATACACAAAATAAATAAATACAGTAATATAAGATAACATAAATTGAAATATAAGCATTTGTTCCTACATTAGAGAAAATATAAATTTTAATGACTATGCAATTAAGACAGAAATTAATTTTAGTATAAAATTAATAATTCTGATTTTAGATGTATGCTATAGACTGTACTGGAGGTTAACTGTGTAATCAATTTAATCCTCAGCACATGTTTCATAAGTGAGATACTGTTGCTGTCCCGTATCATACAAGAGAAACAAGGAACAATGAACTAAACTCCAAAGTTATGTAGCAAGTAAATAAGTAACATTCCTAAGTGATGTGAATACAAACAACACATCTTTAACCACCAGTGACAGTATACAGCTGTGTACCTGGGAGAATGGCACAGGGATCAGAGAGATATAAATGGAAGCAGATTTTAAATTATTGTGCCTGATACATACTCCATTATTAAAATAGTAAAAGCTTAAAAGGAGTCATTGCACACTTCAACTTTTCATATTCTAAAAATTATATATCAATGCTTGTTCTAATCTTCAAAAGAAAGCACATAGTTTGTTTTGATAGTTGGACAGTACATATGGTTTCAGCAAAAAGAAATCTTTAAAGTGTTACTATGTATGGAGTTTTTTATCAATAATAAAACATACATCTCTAGAACTATAAATTTTCAAAGTAATTTTACTCTTATATTATTACATCTTCACCTTGACCAAAAGATGATGAACCTGAAACATGTAAGCACTTAATGCCTATTTATATTTTTTTACATTTTCATTCTTTTTCCCCTTTTTCCTGGATTTTTTTAATTTAAATTAGAAACAATCTTATTTTATGTATCTGAAGACAAGTGGCATATTTTCTCTATTTGAGGATGCTAGCTTAATAATATACTCCATAGAGACTTATACAACCAAGTTCATTGCTGCCCTATTCACAGTAGCCAGAAAATGAAAACAATCGAAATGTCTTTCAAATGATGAATGGACAATGAAAATGTGGGAAATACATATTCAGTGTAATTCTAGGCATCTGTAAAGAAAACTGAAGCAATGAAATGTGGAACTATGGATGGAACTATGAAAGATCATATGCAGTGAGCTGAGATCCAGAAATCATCTCTCTCTCTCTCTCTCTCTCTCTCTCTCTCTCTCTCTCTCGCTCGCTCGCTCGCTCTCTCTCTCTCGCTCTCTCGCTCTCTCGCTCTCTCTTGCTCTCTCATTTCTCTCTCTCTCTCTCTCTCTCTCTCTCTCTCTCTCTCTCGCTCGCTCGCTCGCTCGCTCGCTCGCTCGCTCGCTCGCTCGCTCGCTCGCTCGCTCGCTCGCTCTCTCTCTCTCTCACACACACACACACACACACACACGTGCTTTGAATTGTAGTACCCATAGAAGTCAGGACACTAAAAAGGGACCATGGTGGGAGAGGCAGGGTGTTAAGGGAATAGTAAAGGAATGTAGATGTTATTATGAAGTGGAAAGGTAAATAGAGGGATAGGAAGGGTCAAATAAGGTGAGGGAGAAGAAGGCATGGGAGAACAGGGAGTGTGGGAAGGAAAAACACCGAGGAATTTTGAAAAGCAGCCATATGCAGACTTACTACTGTAGAAGCACAAGATCAAGCCAGTCAAACTCCCAGCCGGACAAAGGAGGTTCTCACGAAATCCCACTCCTCGTTAAGAAGTTATTAGCAACTGATGGCTTCTAGTGAAGGAGATTAAGTTTCCTTCAAGGAGGCCACCCTTCAGGGTTCACCCATGTCCCAGTACATATCCCTATACACATTCACATATAAACAACACTAAATGGACTCAATGGGTTCTTTAAAAGAGTAAATAAAATTAGAAGGGGAAAGTGGTGTGTGGAGGGTGATGGTAAAGAATTAGAAGGGATAAAATGGGATGGGGTAGATTTAATTAAAATACTAGTTTTATACATAAAATTTTCAAACAAATAATATGAAAGCTCCGTGAGAATAAAACCAAAATACTGACCCAATAATATATATCTCCAAGTACAGCAATGCCACATATATTTTATTCATATAATAAAAACATGCCATAGGGACATAGGAGCCAAGATATGTGAAAAGTATTACAGTGATATTGAACTGAATAAACTAAAGGCTTGCAGAGTTTAACGTAAGTGGGAAGTTAAACCTGAAGGGTGAGTATATCTTCTACATCTCTAGTATGAGAAGGCAGAAAGTTCATCCTAGCAAAGAAATCAGAATAGAGGGCCAAGAAGGGCGGGCTAAGGATTGTCAGTCACTTTGGTCAGGTTCCAGTAAAACAGGAGTGCTGCAAAATAAAGCTGAAGAAAATGGGGGTAAATAAATGTGGAGAGACCCCTGAACGTGGATGTCAATGAGGAGGCCTCAGCACTCTATGGGGCCCCTGGTAGTGAATCAGTATTTACCCCTGGCATAAGAAGGGACTTTGGGAGCCCATCCCACAAGGAGGAATGCTCTCTCAGCCTGGACACATGCGGGAGGGCCTAGGCCCTGCCCAGGATGATATGACAGACTATGGGGAACCCCCATGGAGGGCCTTACCCTCCCTGGGGAGCAGAGAGGGGATGATGTGAGGGGGGCTTGTGGGGGAGGGTTGGGAGGAAGGGAAGGAAAGGGAGAGGGGATTGATAATGTGAAGCAGCCTTGTTCCTAATTTGAACTAATAAAATAAATAATCTCTTGGGGGGAAAAAGAAATATGGAGAACCTACAATATTATTCTTATTTTTTTAATATGAAAACTTTAAAAGATTTTTGTAGTGGCAGTATAATATAAAATGAGAGAGCCATTATAGAAATAGCAATAATATATGTATTTTATTAACATATTGAAATATTTCAAACGACAACTAATAGAAACTTTTGTGAAGCAGTGACAGGAAAGAGTTAATTACAGGTTGAATCTGCAGGTATTTGAAAGGGAAAGCTTTTCTTCCCAATTGATAATTTCACTAAAATATTTGATTCACTTTCAGTGGGAAGAAAAGGTAAGCCAGCAGTCTGGTCCTCTGGCTCTTGTCTCCCCTTGTTTATGTTTTTCCCTTAAGTCTTAGTCTATGGGACTAGACAGCCATTTAAAATTATCAAAACAGAAACAGAATTTTTTTTTTAAATCCTTTTATAACTTGAAGGGTGAATGATTATTTGGCAGATTTAAACTACCAGAGATGT